TTATACTAAACCTCCTTTTCTATCTGCTTTTGAAAACTGTTCTAGGAATGTACTTCCCTTGAAGGCTTCTTTTTTCCCCTCCTGCTATTTCTGATCCAGTATCAGCAAATATTAACTTCATTAAATCACCAATTATACCGGTTGGCATGACAGATAAACACTGTGCCGTTGACTTTGGAACACATGCAGCACTGTTTGAGGAAGCAATACAGTGCTAACAAAAAAGGGTTTGTTTTAGTTAAAAAAAAGTATTAAACTAGGTCAAAAACTTCTTCTTGAGATTCAATACATCTCTGGGGTACTTAGGGCTTATAAGAATGGCATAATGTGTCCTGAGCAACATGGCTCAGGATGCGAGGCACTATTTAGGTGACTGGCATGCTAGAAATGGGACAAAGTTGTCTAGAGAAGACTTCAAAGGTGAGTCAGCACCTCTAGTTGGCAAAAATCAGCTAAATAAAGCCAAACCAAGTCCAAAGAATATATGAGTACTGTTTTTCTACCTGCTGCATTCGATCTACACCAAGATGTCAAGTTCTAGGATGCAGGATACTTCTAACAGTCAGACAGGAATAATACATTCAGCTGCACTTTTACTGAGTCTTTCGTAAAACAAAGGAAAGACTTTCAGAGGCATCTTTGCTAGCATCTGTTGTTAACTGGTATTTCAAGCAAGGCATTCTTGTTTATTTGGGGCAGGGGATGAAGGGATACATGACATTTGCTTTGTTTCCTTTTACCTTTTTTGGTGAAAAACTCCTTGGAATATTTTCCTGCCAAAACGAGCTTGCGAGGTATCTTCCCCAGAAGTTCTATGATCAATGCAATGTGATCTGCATTTTTTCAAAAGAAAAGACAGTGAGACACATTCACACAAGACATCTCCATACCCCAGTTTTCCTTGTCTTTGTCCTTATATTCCAGAGATTATCTCCCTTAAAAATTACTTTGAGATCCACCTGAAATCAGATTACACAAAGAACGACAAAGTCAAGGGGAAAAAAGGTAAGGGCAACCCGAGGCATGATCAGTTTGAGAAGCAAGGTAGAGAATCCAGAGTGAGGAAAGGGAAACACCAGAACAAACACCAGAACTGTGTTTCACTGCAGAGGCTCGAGCACAGTGGGTGCTGATTTGGGTGGACAACCTTTTAGCAAGGAGCCTTTGCATCGCCAACTCCTACGAGAAGGCTCATTCTGAAGAAGCCACCATTCTATTTCGTGTCTCATTTTAGAAAGGAAAGACTTGGACAAACACACCTTCATCCCGTGAGTAATCTTCCCCAGAGTGAGGCTCGAAGAGATAGTCTCCTGTTGCCAACTCAAAGGCCTAAACAAAGAGAAACAGGCACATTAAACCACTTTAATGCATTTCACACGCAGTCAGACGTGCTGCAGATGCTTCTGCATCTCTTCGTGGGCCAGAAGCAAAGCAGTGGGAAGAACCTGCACAACTCCAGCACACCACGACCATCTTGAGGTGTGCAACTACTTCGCCAGGTTCTAAGGACTGCATTAAACAACACCATAAGCACATCAGTGGTGAATTCTGGATCACGGCAGCACGCGAGTGTGGAACTGCACAAAGTGAAAGCATTTCATGCGCTTCGCCTCTCTTCTGCCTCAACAGCATTTGCAAAATGATGTCGTGGCCAAACTCTAGGGTTTGGGTTTTTTTTTTGTTTTGTTTTACAAAAATTTTCCTCTCTCCCCAAATTCCAGATATTAAAGACACATTTTTCAAACAGTTAATCTCTGAACGTTTGTCTGTAGATATGAAAACATGTTTTAAATGAGAAAAACACTTGCATTCAACTCATCGCTCCTAAACGCCACAACACATTTACCTTTTCCATATTCACTTTTACTCAAAACAGTAACTCTGATCTTCTGTATTCTCAGTTTTATTTACAGAGTGCTGTTGTCAAACCCTGAATGAGGCACTCTGAGTAACCACTGTATAATTCTGGCCACATATTCTGCAGACACAACACAATCACGTTTGCGTTTTTTTTTTTTTTTACCACATTCATCAAAAATCACAGCTTGTTTTCCAAGACAGCAAAAATGATTTTGCTTGCTATTTTCCAAGCTTAAAATATCAAAACCAAGCTTTGATTTGCAGAAAACACAGAATGGAGACACCAAAAAGGCACACGTAGCAACTGACTAGACTGATATTTTTTTTTTAAATCACCATATTCTACATTTGCCAGCTATTACAGGAACAGCCCAGCCTTGTCTCAGCATTACTCAGATTATAAACTGATTCCAAACACGCAGAGGATGCATATGATTAAAATATTAATTTATACTGAAGACATCTGTGAAACAGTGCTGGATGCAGCAGAAAGGCTCTTTATATAAAAAGATTTTGTCTTCAGAATTGTGTAGTTGTCTCGTTTTTCCACAAAGCATGATGACAAAGTACAATCATATCTGAAATCTGCTGGTGCTGTACAACAAAACTAGCTTTCAAAAGGAAAGCCACATGTGGCTTAAAGAAAAAAAATAAACCAAACAACTTTGGTATGGAAAGATGGTATTCAGCAAGTCTGGAAGTTGGCTGAACACCTGTGAGGGTTTTTTTGCCAGGCCTGGCTAGTGACTCAGCAGTCCAGAGCACACGAGTGTCCCAGCATGTCCCATAAACCAGTTTCAAACCCCTGGGCTGACACCACTCACCATGCACGCCGTGCTCCAGATGTCGGCAGGAGTGTTGTACCCCGACCCTATCAACACCTCCAGGGAGCGGTACTGTCTTGTCTGGATGTCCTCAGTGAAGTGCTTGTGCTGAACAGAAGAAACGTTTTACTGAACAGTTAGAGGCTGTTTAAAAGAGGAGAATCCGCAGCCTGGAAGGCCAGAGCACAGCAAAGCTCACTCCCATCTGAGTTTTACATCCTCATTAAATATTTCCTTATATTCCTACAAGTACTGTTTAAGTGTCCTACATGAGACACTCCTCCTCAAGTAAAACAGTCTGGCAATATAGAGGAAGGCAGGCCATAAAAATACAATAAGGGAAGGCGTCCAGAAGCTGCACCCTCTCCTATTCGGCCACAACAGGCCATTATTCAGCTACCCTGAAGCAGATAAGCAGCACCAACGTGAGAGACCACCTTGCCAGACGTGCTGCAAGCCTGATGTGCAATGCTGAGTTTACATCTTACAGGAGAGAGAAGTCTCAAAGCATTTTGCCATTTAAGCCAAGTAAAATAGACATTTCTTCTATCTGAAACGTCAAGCATTTAAAAGCAGCCCAGCACAACCATCAAAGATTAAAACTACTTATGAGTGTCTCTTTTATGTGCTCATGAATCCACTGCAATGGTTTGATGAGTTAAACTCCACAACTAGCACGGCAGAGCAGCAATTGTTTGCAACTTGCTCATTCCCCAGGAAAGCCACCGACTCCTTCAGCAGTTTCACACACGCTGATTTCTACACATTATATGCAACACTGTTCACAGGTCTATTAGAAGTGACCACTGAGGCACTCAGAACACGGGCTGAAATCCTGTTAGAGGACCGTTTCTTTCTCTGTGTCACTGCTCCAACCTCTTCCTTCCCCCCAGCAGAGTTTCAGACTGTCACTACTTTCACAAGCAGGTCTAAGATAGAATCTATTTTACAGATTCTTTTCCATCTTGGCATACTGTGAATGAATTAGCAGGTTTAAACAGTCCATGTGAAAAGATTGTGAACTTACCACCCAGCAGGCATTTCCTAGGTCAGCTATCTTCACTTTGAGCTTATCTGCATTCTTGGGCTCAAGAGGATTAAGAAGGAAATTCCCAGCAGTTGATTTTCCTAGAGGCAACATGTACAACAGCTGATTAAAGCTACATGGACAGTGTCACCATCTGTCATCCAAACCCTGCCACCCTCTCCCTACTCAGGAAGGGTTTTGCTTACGGATCAGAACTTTTCCCTCCTCGAAGCCTGGGTATAAAAACCAGCAGTCTGCACTATGAGCAGAGCTACCACCATTAAGACCCAACTGGTGTTACACAGCAGGACAAGCTACGCACACGCAACAGTGTTTCCCAGCACTCTTTAAACAACCTTAAAGAGTTTGTCTCTATCTAGACAGGCTTTTTAAATAAGGGTGTTGCCAGAAACAAAACAAGCCTCTCAACCCTTGTGTCTTCATAAATCTTTGAAGGACAGTCCACGTGTTACAGCATCTTCTTGACAGACCCATGGCTCACTGCTGCACCACAGTTGCAAGAGCTGAAGGATTTATTGCGAAAACCCCAGAGACACAGTGGAGAACAAAAATATTAAGTCACTAAATCACACCCAGCTGTAGCTCTACAGCAAGTTGGGAGAAAGCTGCAAGAAGCAAGGTACATCTAGTAACAGGGGCATCCAACTAAATGCAGTTCAAGTTTCAAAAATCTTTAAACTGCACTTGCTACTTTTCATCCACGTAACTCCGCAGCAGTACTCTGCCAGGAAAACTGCTACTGAGTTTTTTTTTAAAAAGAAATACAAACATTATTTCTCCCTCCTTCTCCAAGCAGATATACTGCACCTGACCTTGACTCAAAGATGCAAAAAAGGACAGTTTTATCAGCTGAATCAAGTTTGTAAAAAACATACACCTGGAATGTGTTTCAACTGCTGTACACTATTGTGTGCCTTATGTTCTCCTAAACCTACAAGACTTACAGTTTTTCCCCCTTCTGAAACAAATCATATTTAAACAAAAAGCATTAAAGAGTTTTTTTTTCCCTATACCATACAAGCTTTGTTTCAGTCAGGCTGCATTTTCAGTTCTGGGAAACCATTTACTCATCTCAAGTAACTGAGAGGAGTTACCTGTGCTCTGTATCAAGAACAAAACCATGGGAACACACTGAACAGTACTTATCCCGTAATTTAGCAGCCAGTGACAATTTGCAGACTTACATTTCTAACTGTTAACGAAAAATCACATAAGCAACACCTGATACAAAGGAGGGGAAGTTCCTATACTGAAAAACTAATGTATAAGGCACTTTTCCAAAATGGGGACACTCAATACATTCAATAGTCAAAACTACAGTACAACTACAACTGGAAGCTACCAACAGCGAGTGCCTCGGAGCAGGACTGTCAGGTGAATTACTCCTGGCAGGAAAAGGCTCAAACAGGTGGTTCTGATCACTTCAGCCCACAAAATGAAGGTTTCCATTAATTCTCTGATGAAGTGTCACAACACAGCTCTCCCACGTCAAGGAGACAGAAGCCCTTTCCCTCAGGATTCCTCTTATACCTTTGTTGTCTGATGGGCTGTTATTCTCATTCTCGTCCTCTGAAGGTGTCTCTGTCCGGATGCTTTCTTGCAAATGGTTCATCTCCTGCTCACTGAGCGATCGCTCTTCGTTGGACGTGGGCTGACACACCATGGAATCTTCTGAAACTAAGGGCACGAACGAGTCCGACATGGCTTCTGGAGGCCTGTTCTCCGGGTCACCGTTGCACTGACCGTAGTTACAACTGTGGAAGTTCTCCTCCTTCTGCGTGCCAGGGTGATCACCAGAGTCATTGGCGTTATGAAGGTCGTCCTCAAGCCGCACAGACCCTTGATTGCCGGAGTCTGGGAAGTCCGTCATTTGTATCACTCCGTTGCAGTTTATTTCTGTTACGCATTTTTCCACGCTGCTTTCCATTACAATGGATTGCTCTTGTACGACGACTTCGGCTGGAAGAGTGGAAAAGAAGAAGGTAGCAGAACACACCTAAACAAAGTAATAGCTGACGCTGCTCAAGGGAGCCCTCAGAAGTAGGTAGTTCTTAACATTTAACTGGACACAACCATTCCTGAGTTCCTTTTGTAACAGGAAATTCCCTGCCTCTCTAGGCAGGCAGAACGCAATGCAAACGGGTGAAACGCCCATGGGCACCTCTACTAAAGGTGCTCACTCTACACGTACCAGCACGAGAGAAAGGACAACGCTGAGCTGCTTCAGCAATATGTTAGGTCCATACCTGTCTTTTTGCTGACGTTTTCCTCTGGTGGACTAACTTTTATGAGCATTTCCAGAGGGCTCTGAGCTTCTTCCTCCTCATCGGGCTGGGTCTGCCCAGGGCTTGCTTCCTTCTCCATTTCCTCTATCTCTTGCATTCGCTTCTCTAACAGCTCGGCCTGCCGTTTCTGCTTCTTTTTCAACTTCTTTTTTTTGTTCTTTGACATTTTGTCAGCCTACACAAAAGCAAGTGGAGAAATTTGACTTAGCATTTTATATTTCAATAAAGCTAAAACACATTGGGTTTTAACTTATTTTAGACCCGAGGAAGTAGTCTGGGATGAAGACTCTTGAGACAGTTCTCCTCCCAAATAAAAAGTAGATATTAAGATTTTGGAGCAGTTGTCTATAGGTCTTATCAGTGCACTTCTGTCCTGGCCTGAAAAACCCACAGTATTTTCCAAATGAGGGATCTCAGACTCCACAGACAACAGTCACCTTCACAACAGACCCTGAGACCACCAAAAAGACTATGTGTTCTGGTAATATATGAGCTAATACTACTTACATTTCCAAGACAGCATTGAACCTGATGCCTATGACAAACACAGACCATATTTCTCCTTCTGATATGATAAGGTTGCCTGCCCTTAATGCTGACTGCATTATGAAACAATGCATTAGATGCTGTAAATGGATGGATATTTATGCATAAAAGCTATTATACTTACTGGTTTTGGCTGTGGTGCAGTGCTCACTGAAAAGGAAGATAAGTAAATTAGTATGTTTATAGCCAAAAACTGCAACTGCAGTCTTATCTCTAAGGTAAGGAGATAACCACATATCTCCTATGTGGTTTGGTAACAACATTTTAAAGGTATCAGCAAATATTATTCTGACGGCTCGTTTCTCTAAAAAAGTACAGCAAAAAGATGAGGAAAAACATTAAATCAGTAAATGCATAATTAAAATTCCAGATAGTAGACTTGCTTGACTGATTATCAAAGACTTAAACTTCCTGCCATGCAGCCTCATTTACTGCATGTATTATGCATCTTACTGAAAAGAAAATGCAAACCAAAACATTAAAATAACAAAGTTGAGGGAGTTTCCCTGAGCTAGCCTACGCTACGATGGGCTCAGCGAAACACTGGTGGTGTAAGATTATGACCGACAGAGCCCCCCAACACACACTGCAGTAGTTCTTGAAAACTACACAGTGGTACAGATGGATATTCTGGGGAGGAACTCGGATCTTTAGGGATGCTAGCATGTCAGGGAAGCTGTTTCTGTTACAAGTTTTTCAGACTTCTGCAAACTTAAAACAGGTAAATCACCATCTTGTTGAGACCTTCATGAAATGCAGCTCCAGCATCATACAATGAAAGGAAATAAACTTTTGAAGAAAATGTGAGAAGTATCTCACCACGTGTTCACTCCAGCACTATTTGGAGTGCACGAGCATTTATGCAGGGTGAGCTATACAACACTGACTGCTCCACTGCTTCATCGGCGCCAGATTAGCTCTGTTAAAAGCAGGTGCCA